TTGCTGCACAGACTCAGAGAGAGTCCTGGAGAAGGTCAGATAAAGGACAGGCAGTCTCAGCCCTCTCCTTGTCAGGACTAGATAGAGACCCCTGTTGCTTTGCTGGCTGCCTCTCTGCTCTCAGGTCTGTTAGCTCCGGTGAATAAAGCCAGATCCTGGGAGGCAGGCAGTTAGGCCTGGGGACTCCAGCTGTTTATAGAGCTGCTATGCACTCCTGCTGTTTCTGGAGAACAAACACAGCCTGGAAAGTTTCTGACACCAGGACGATGTCCATATTACCTTGGACCCGTGGTACACACTAGCTCTTTGTATGGTTGGAGAGGCAGAGCCCAGGCTGGAAGTCAGGGAGCCTGGGCTGACCGTGCCACTAATTAGCTGCGTGTGTGTGTCTATGGGCAAGTGCAATCCTCTCTCTGGCCTCCCGTTTCTATGTCTGTTCAAGCTCAAGTTCCCTTTTATCTAATTCTCTGTGATGAAAGGAGACAAGGAAGGCCTGAGTAGTCCCAAACATTCAGGAATTAAATATTTACATTTGGCTTAGGAGACCATGCATTGAGTTCAAGTTCTACCCTTGCTACGTATTAGGAAGATAACTTAACTTTTCTGATCCTCAGCTTTCTCATCTGTAAACTGGAGATAACCTTTCCCACTTTATGGGGGTTGTTATCAAGCCTAAATTAGGTGGTGGATACAGAAGTGCTCTGTTCACTGTCTGGTGTGTAGCAGCATATAATAAGTTCTTCAAGAACAAGTTGTTTTTCTTGTTTTCATGCTAATACCAGTTTCCCAAAGATACTTTGAGTGACAAGAAAAGAGGCTTGGATGGGACAGGCATCCAAAAGTTTTGATTGGTGGAATCCAGAGGGAAAAGAAGCTGAAGGGAGGGGAACTAGTGACCACTGCAGACAGCGTCAGACCCGTGTTTCTATCACACGTGTTTCATGCTGTGTGACCTTGCTCAAATGACCTTACCATTCTAACCACCAGATTCTCTCTCCAGAAAATAGAGAGCCAGACTGGACAATTTCTTAAGTTTTTTTTTTTAATCTGAGACTTTTTCCCCATATCATCTGTAAAGTAAGTTAAACACACAAATAATTAAGAAGCCAATGGAAAAAAATCATAGTACATAAGCCTTCATTTAACATCATCGACAGGTTATTGGGAACAGACTTTTAGTGAAATGACATACAGCAGTTTATCAAATAATGTTGTTTTGTTATAAGGTTGACGACGAGAAAATTGGTCTTGTTATAGTCATTTCGTTGAAAGTTGCAGGTTGTAAGAACCTATTGGTGATGTTAAGTGAGATCTTACTAGATTATGAAATGTGCAAGCTTGGAAATAGCACCCTCTGCCCTACTTTGGTTTAACTGTAATAAATAGGGAGAAAACTGTGTCATTTATGGTCTACCTTCAAGGCAGCACATCATAACTGATCCTTCATTTCCTGTCAGAAGATTATTTCTACTCCAGAGGACCATCTCCTCTAGGGTCCTTTGTTGATTATCTCCATTATCATTACTTACTATTTTCTCTTAAGGGGAGCGGGGCATGGCATGATATTGGGTTGGGTTTCTACTTTTGATGCACTTAGACTGTTGCTTACGTGTACTTTGTAGGTCCTGGTTCTCCAGTTTCTTTAGTTGGTGCTCTTTGGAGTTACAGCAGTGTGGCACGGCACAAACACTTATCTATAGGTTATGAGAACTGGATCTTAATCCTTGCACAGTCACTAAGTAGCTTTGTGATAGGATCTGTACAGATCTCCATTTCCTCAGTTGTAAAATGGGGAACATAGCATGCCTACTCTACAGAGTGGTTGTAAGACTACATATTTGGTGAAGGAATCACGTGAGAGTGTGAAAGTGAAAATGTGCTGAAAATGATAAATGGCATGTAACAATAGCTGGCTCATTGCATGTGCACTTTGTGTCAGGCACTGTGCTTCGCACTTTCCATGCTTTATCTCTTAATACTCACAGCAGGCCATAAGGTGGATGCTACCGGCATCCCTATTTTTAACAGATGAGAAAGCCAACTTTAAAATACCTTGGCCAAGATCACAGAGCTGAGCCTCAAATTTTGTCTGGGCATTGAAGACTGTGTCTAATTACTCTGCTACACTGTTTCTGTAGAAAGCAAAATGCAGCAGAAGTGAAGTCTGGAAAGGCAGTCAGAAGACGTGGGGTGGGAAATGGGGGGTGAGGGTTGTGGGGGTGGGGGTGGAGAGGAGAGGAGGAAGAAACCAAGGCTCAGAGAAGTCTAAGGATTGTTCAAGATTACACAGGAAATCATCAATGATAATGTTGGGACTGCAGTGTCCAGAGTCTCCATCATCATCACCATCATCAAAAATGTTTCGTGAGCCTTTACAAAGCATATACAATGATAACCATTTTTCTAGGCTGGGAATGGTGGCTCACATCTGCAATCCCAACACTTTGGGAGGCCGAGGTGGGTGGATCACATGAGGCCAGGAGTTCGAGACCAGCCTGGATGACATGGCAAAACTCCATCTCTATTAAAAATACAAAAATTAGCTGGGCCTAGTGGTGCATGTCTGTAATCCTAGCTACTCGGGAGGCTGAGGCACAAGAATTGCTTGAACCCAGGAGGCGGAGGTTGCAGTGAGCCGAGATTGTACCACTGCACTCCAGCCTGGGCAACAGGGTGAAACTCTGTCTCAAAACAAAACAAAACAAAACAAAACAATTTTTCTCTACACACTACACATAATAACTTAATGATATCAGTATGTTAATTACCATTGGGATTTTACAGATGAAGAAACTGAGGCTTAAAGACGTGAAGCAAATAAGCTCCTCGCAGACAGAGTGAGCTCAGTGTATGTGACTCCAGAGCTGGGCTTTTAGTCACCACAGGAAGTAAGGCTATATCTTTCTTTTTTAGGAATCTGTTTGAAGGAATTAGGTCTGTGTTTGGTCATTATTGGGAAATGAGTGCAGATATGTGCACTTGTCCTCAAATAACCAGGTCCTTTACAGAACCAGGTGGTCCACTCCCTGACTTGGCTTGATAACCATTTACCATTGAGGAAAAAGAGTGGAAGTGTCAACATTTACTGTACATATTATGATTAATACAAATGTCAACATGCTTCTGATCTTGGAGGAGGGGAGGAAAAGCAGAGGGGTTCATTAAGAGTGCTTGTAAGATATCCATTCAAAGGTGGAAAAAAAGTGGCTATTTATTTGACCTGGATATCCAGTGAAAAGCACCCATGTTTGTTCCTAGCTAACAAGTGGAACCATCTCCATTTGGAGATAAGAGGCCTGTTACTTTAGGGAGTTTCACCAGTTGTCCTTTGAATGTAGGCATGATCTTCTTGACCATATCAAGACAGGCCTGTTTGCAAAAGGACAGCTTCTAGACCATTTGCCACCTCATCTTGAACTCAGTGATTTTTGCCAGTCTGGGACTGAAAGGTTGGATGTAATCCCCATAAAGGGTTAGAACCAAATACTGGTTTTAATTGATAAGCAATATAATTGATTTGGTTTATTTATTTTAAAAAAACTGTTGAGTATCTGTTATTCAATCACTGTGCTAGCTGCTGAGGTTCCCACAGGAAATGAGACAAGAAACCAGCCCCCATATAACTTACAGTAGAGTGACAGGAGGGACACATAAGCAGGTTGGTACAGTGGTAATTGTAAGTGGCAAGTGCTATTGTGGAAACTGTAAAATGTGTCATGAGAATGGACAGAAGGGACCCATGCCAGCCTTGGGTGAAGAGCACACGTGAACTCACACACATGACGTGCATGTTAGAATGGGGAGGCTTTCTGTGGAAATAATTCTAAGCTGAGTCTTAAAGGAGAATAGGAATTGGCAAGGGAAAGGAGGCTGGAGTGGGTGCTCTGGGCAGTGGCCTAGCAGCAATCACCAGAAGCCTGTAAAGCAGGGAGTGAGGGACAACCTGGCTAGAGAGCTGTAAGCAATCGGTGCAGCTAGAGGATGCAGCGGGAGAGGGAGGAGATGAAGCAGGGTTATTCACAGGGAGCTTCCTCAGCTTTGCAAAAGAATTTGGGTTTAACACTGAGGGTGATGGGGGAGCCATAGGAAAGATTTAAATCGGGGCAGTGGAGTGGTTAGATTTGTGTTTTGGAAAGGCTAGTATGGGAAAAGGTAGACTGGAAGGGGGCAAGTTGGAAGCCAGCGAGAACCCTTTGCAGTCATGTAAGCAAGCCACGATGGAAGCCTGAACTAGATTAGGGGCGGGTGGATGTCCAGAAATTGATAGGTTAGAGTTAACTTTAGGCTGCCCTGATTATTTTTTTTCACAAGCTAGATCACTTCCTTAACATAAATACAATTGACTTTTCTGTTGAAAAAGCAAAAAAGTCTGAGAAAAGTTTAAAAATACCATTATACTTATTCATAATTACTAATTTAATATTCACCCCTTGCAGACATTTGAAAAATATATAAATACTGTAGGAAGAAAATAAAAATTATTCATAAGTTTATAATTCAGAGATAATCACTGTCACAATTTTGGTATTTTTTTCCTAGGCATTTCTTCTAGTGTAATGGATTTATTTTAAACTTTTTTACTGTGAAAAGTTTTAAACATATTCAACAGTAGAGGAAATGTACAATTAACCCAATATACCCACTTCAGCTTCTATAACCAGCAGTCTTCTGCCATTCTGCAGTTGAATGTTAAACTTAAAAACAGGTCTTCACATTTTCTTTTACTCTAAAAATTTGACTTGTGTAATTTTGTTCTTGTAATCCTGGGCGTTTGGCAGGTGCTTACCCTGCTAGCTCTTTGGCAATTTTCAGATGTTATGTATTCATTCAAAACGTTTAATGTGACAGTAAAAACATCTGAGCCTCATGGTATACCACTGGAGACTTGAAAAAAACCCAGCTGATTCCCCACTTCCTTGATGGAGACCAATGCAGAGGATAAGTATTTCATGGAGAGATATCCCCAGCAGGAACTAACAGCTTGTGTTTTGACTACTCACCATGGTTGTCTCAGCAATGGAACCAAAGCTGTTGATGAAAATGTTGCAGCTCACGTTCACTGGGGGACCTGCCAATCAAGAGAGATTCCTGCTTAACCCCATGGCCATGGAAGAACCCACAGGGTAGGACTCATTCCCAGAACACTGACTTCTGGAATGGATCGCCTTTGGTGGAGGAGATCCTTGCTTACTCTCCACCCCACCCCCAAGCACCTGGGATTCCCAGCTACCATTTAACATCTCTATGCCAGATTTCCTGGTCCCCAAGTGAGCACCAGGTACAGAACACCAGAGGCTGAGCTGAAATGTACTTTCATTAACACAGGATAATTCATCATCCGCCATATGGTTGAAATTCCTTCCCCAAGTCCCATCGGCTGCCTTTCAGCCACAAATTAGTGGCTGAAATATATTTATGGCTACAACATTTGGAGGCCATCTTGGGAATTACAAGGAACAGCAAGCTCCTTGCCTTGAACTTATGAACCAAGAATGATTGTCTGAAAGGCATTGATGGGAATTACCAGCTGAGGGATTCAGAAGGAACCTCCGGGGAAGTCCACAGACTTTGTTAAATACTTTCTGAGCAAGTCTTCTGAATCCTACTGCAAAGCGTAGGAAAGAAATGCAGGCTTATTTACTGCTTTGCTATCTCATTGCTAGAGGAAATGTTGTCTCACTGAAGCCCAATCTCTTCACTTTATACTATTAATTATAGCAGTTGCCATTTACTAAACATTAGGGGGGTTACTGCTGTGCTGAGAGTATTATTAACATCATTTCATTTCATCCTTTCAGCAACTCCAGGAGAAGGTATGGTTATTACCTTCATTTTACAGAAGAGAAAACAGAGGCTCAGAGAGGTTATTTGTTCATGGCTACATAACTAGTAAATGGGTGAGTCAGAGTTTGAGTTCAGATTTGTCTAACTCCAAGGGTGCTCATCTTAATGGCTATTCTGCAGGAAACAGGTTTAGAGGAAGGAAGGGGCATGGTCCCGATGACACAGACAGTGGCAGAGTCCAGAATTTTCAGCAAGGGGTTTCCAAATAAGCTGACAAAAAGGGCTGACATAAAATAACCAAAGAAAAATGTGAGACTATGGGTAAGAGTGGTAAAAGCAGCAGGAGTCCAGGCAAGAGAAGTTCTGGAGAATGAGGCAGGAAAGACCTCAGAAAGGTGATGACCTGGAGATGTCTTTGAAGGTGAATAGGACTTGGATAAATGGTCACAGCCCTTCACATGAAGATTGTAATTTGCAATTTGTGATTTTCTTTTCAGATCTACTTGCTTGATTCCTATGAGTTACTGAGGTAGGCAGGGCAGAATTCTTGTTCCTACTTGACAAAGGTAGCACCAAGAATTTTAGTAACTCACCTAGGCTCATTCAACTAACAAGTGGTAGAACCAGGACTTGAACCAAAGTTTTCTCATTGTGGAAAGAAGAAAGTAGATATGTCCTTATGCCCTCTGGAACCCATTGCATTCTGTCCCTCTTGAAAAAGTAGCCTAAGCATTTTGCTCAAATTAAGCTAGGATCAGAAGTCTTGGCATATAGGAGGGGACTCAGTCTTGGGATGAGAATCTAGGTTTTTCCTTCAAGGGATTATCAGTATCTCTGGGTTTTGGACATAACTCCAGCACTCACTGGTTGGTTGAGCTTGGCAATGCCTTTTCTCTGACCTGGGCCTCAATTTCCTCATCAATCTGGAGAGAGAGTAGCTCTTGATCTAGGCAGTCAGTCTCAGCTTCAGTGATGTGGAATTCCTTTATGGAAGCTATCCATTTGCATTTCAGGGTTGTAAGATTTTAGGGCTGGAAGGTTTCTTAAAGGTCACCTCATCAATTTCTCCTCAAACTGAAGTGCAGACAGGTTTATCTGCAGTAGAATCATCTGGGAACCTGTTAAACTACAGATTCTTTGGCCCAACCCCATACTAGGTGAAACCAAATCTCTGAGGTTAGCCCAAGAGTCTAGTGTTCAGAGAGCTACCTGGGTGAGTCTCATGTACAGCCAGGTTTGGGGACCACTGCTGTAGACCAGCTACCCATTCAAGGCTGAGCGCCTGAATACTTCCAGCAGTGGGAAACTCATTTTTTCTTGAGCAGCCCTTTCCATAGTTGGATAGCTCTGTCTGCAAAAATTTTTTTCCTTGTGCTGAGTGGAAGTCTGCCTCCTTGTCACTTCCACCTAAACAAAGGTCAGGTGGAAAAAACCTGAATGGTCAGGATTTTTCTCCTTCATTTAGACTCAGACCCAGGTTTTTTTTGTTGTTGTTGTTGCCTCATGCCATTAAGATACCCCAAGGAGTTACTGCCTATGCCTTGAAATGATGTGCACAGAGTTCCCATCCAGTCCCTGCAAGTGTCTGGCACTGTGACTCCAATTATAAATTAGTTTCTGATTTATGTGTGTGAGAGGGTGCCAGCCAAAAGGATCCTATGGGGAGGTGTGGTTCATTGAAATAAATCTGAAATTAAATTATCCTTGAGAAAATTACAATTCAGCTGCCTTTGGCAGCAGGATAATGTATATATTTCATTAAATATTAAAGTTTAATTTTGCTTTTTTTTGGTATGTATTTGCATTGGGCTGTGCCCCTGATCCTAGGAGCCATTATAATACACAAAGTCATAAAGAAGACACAGAGTGACAGAGCTGGAATGGCATAGTCCTGCTGGATCATTTTACAGATGCAGAAACAGAGGCTGAGATACAGTAAGTGTCTCATTTGGGGTCATGCCTGTCAGGTAAGTAGAGGGAGGACTGGAATGCTGTTTTAGTGCCCTTTACTTCCACCTCACAGTGTCTTTGCCATTGTACTCTGCAGAGTGTGCTTGGTATTCCCGGCTACCCGTGTTTTCACGAGGGTCAGGAGCAGGGAAAATTTCTAGCACTTAAGGCAGCTGCTGCGTGATGGATCCCTCCGTAGAGTTTTTAAACGATACCGACCTCTTTCTATCATGTTGGAGTCATAGGGGCCCTGATCCTCAATGGCCTTTTCAGGAGCTCTATGGTTTGTATGGGGTTTTGGGGAATCTGATTTGTGTCGGTGGAAGCAGGAAAGGCATCAAAGGGCTCAGGGGCAGAAAATCCTCTTGGCAATTCTTCAGGCCTCAGCACAAAGGAGGGCAGAGAAAACTTCTTAGCTCCTGCGGTGGGGCTCCAGGAAGCTGCACCTCATTCTCAGTCAGGTGGGGGTTGAGGGAGTTAAGGCTAGTGCAGGGTTGAGAGGTGCCTAAAAGATGAACTGGTTCTGTAGATATTGGGCCCAAGTGTTCTGAGTAAGGTTCTCAGAGTGGGAAGGTTGGAAGGGCCTTGATTCAGTGGTCACGATAAAATTTTATTTCTTAAAAATGTCCACTTCTAAGTAAGTAAATAAATAAATGAACAAATAAATAAATAAATCACTATTATTAGAAAAAGAATTAAGTTAGAGTAACTGGGTTCAAGTCTCTGGTTTTGACAGCATGACTTGAAAAATTCACTTAACTACTCTAAGCCCTAGCATATTTGTGGGCTCATTTATTTATTTATTCATTCCTTTATGAAGGTTTACTGGGGCTTTTCTATGTGTCAAGTACAGTGGTATGCACAAAGAATAATACATAAACTCTGGATGCACCCACATTCAACAGTTGAACGAGTTCCTCTCTCAGAGCAAGACCATGGCGCCTCTACATAGGATGGAGTTCTGAGAGAGCCCACCAGGGGGCGTGGTGGACTAGAATTCCTAAAAGCAGCGAGGGACAGAGGATGCAACCTGGTTGTCAAGGGCCCTAACCAGTTCTTGGAAGTGTTTGATTTGGCCGACAAGGTTTTTAAAAGAGACGACTTAGTTGTCAATTTGCAAGACTTCAGATAAAACCTCAGACTCAAGTCTTGTATTGGAAGGCCTGGCTGTACAGGGTCTGCATTCCTGCCTGACAGCTATCAACAAGAGCTGAGAAGTGGCTACCCTTAGATAAGCCCTATGTTTTCTGGTTTTATTTTCTTGTCTCCACCCCGCTTCATTCATATACTATAGTTGTCTTGCCCCTCTAGGTATCAGAGATTGTGACCCTGGTGAAGGCTTGAGCTGAGTGTGCTGGGGGCAGCAACGTTGTTCTTGACTTACCTGTCCTTGGGGTTATGCTAACAATGCTGGAAGCTATGGCCTCAGGAACAAGGTGCAGGGGGAGTGAAGGAGCCTTGAGGTAAACGGGGGAGAGTGGGCCCAAACAGAGACCTGGGTGCATCTCCCAGAACATTTTCTATTTGCAGAGTTGTGCGGAGCAAGCACTCTGAGAAGGGGACTGAGAGCAGGGGGCAAAGTGAGCAAATATTAGGAAGCTGTTACCACCTGTCACATGCCTTGTTTAGTCTTGAACGTGAGCTAAAGGAACAGTGAGGAAGGGCACCTGAAATCAAGGCTTGTCTAGGAGGCTGGCTGCAGGTCCTTGGAATAAGATTTTTGCTAGGGTGCTGGGAGGAAGGTCAGAGTGCATAGGCTGCCAAGGAGGTCCTTAAGACTGCACCTGCAGGGTTCTGCTTGGCAGTTTGAGATGGCTGCAACCTCCTGAGGCATCAGTAAACAAAGGGAACTAGTCTCTTGGTTATAGACACTAAGTTCCCATAGGATTGTGAGAGGTAAAAGAACCTTTTCAGATCATCTGGAGTGGAGTTTGTGAACTGGCAACCCATAGGGCATATGTGGGTCACAAACATGTTTTATTTGAATTTACATGTTTTAGGAATTAGGTAGTCTCACAGAGATCTCAGTATCTGGCTCTTCTTGGAATACTTGATGTTCTGGCAACATGGGGCCTACATTTCTGCAGGGCAACTAGAGACTGGGGCTAAGGAGAGGCTGCCCCTGTAGAGGAGCCTGTACCTCTATTTATTCATAGTCTCTACCACTCCCTATTGTCTTACTCTTGGTTTGCCTCACTGATTTAAGTTATCAACCCTGGTAGGCATTTGAAATTATGACTCTGATTTAGACTAAAATTTTTCAAAATTATTTGTTAGCCCATGGGAAACTTTCAGCTGAAGAATTTTAGTTGGGACCCCATTATTGAAAATAAAAGTGGAGCTGCTTGGGGAGGAGCAGCGTGGGCTTGCTCATCGTGCCCTCTGCTTCTCCTTTGGGGGCACCTGATGGAAGCCTGAAAGCTCCGGGAAGCGTATGTTTAAAAGCTGCCGAAGCAACCAAGCCCATCACTGCGCAGATGAAGAAACTGATGCCCAAAGAAAGGGAGAGACTCATCATCTAAGCTCAGAGAATAAACTCGAGCCCAAACTTGAACCCATTTCTCCACGTTCCATGTTTATCCTTCTTCCCATTATACAAGAGGTAGCAGATAGTTTTTAATTCACTTTTGGACTCCTGGAAACCAGAGGTGCTGTTAAATTGAGTCCTCTGAGGCTTTGTCTGGGCTTGGCGGGAGAAAAGACTGAATTGATTAAGAATACCTGCCTTGGGTAGAGGAAAGAGTCATGAGATTCACACTGTGTACTTACTATCTGCGTGCAATACCATGCAGCTTGCTGCTTTAATGTGGGAAAGCATTTCCCTGTGGGTCTGGAAGGAATGTTTTCTCTACCTTTAAAATTGGGCCTGATCCTGGCGTCATATCCGGAGGTTCTCCCCATTAACTTATCCAGGAAATCCGAGGGTGACATAGGCTTGGGTGCGGAGCGAGCAGCTTCAGCCTCCTTAGAAGCAGCAAGGCTAAGGAGGAAGAGAGGAAAGCAAAAGGTTAATGATGGCTCTTTCTCACACTGTGATCAGATCCCAGCCTTGTCCAACCTCTGTAGAACCACAAGAGTGTTCTTAGCTGGAGAAATGGGTAATATGGGTCCTTAATGAGGTAAGGCCCCGGTTAAATTGTTTACCCAGCCCAAATATCAGCCAGCATGGTATCCTGGCAGGCAGCCAAGTGTCTGATTGATGCTGAGAAGTCACTGACATTTTTAGGGCTTCATCTCTGGGATTTTGAGTAACCACACTTGGCAGCTGGGTGTCCCTGGGAGAGAAGAGTGGAGGGTGAGTCTTTTGGTAGACCTAACCCTGTGTTGGGCAACTGCACTCTCATAGGTCCATGGAGACACACAGACAGAAAGGATGTTAGAGATCAAATAATTTACCGTTTCCTCAAGGTTTATTTTCAGAATCAGAGTCACCAATTTTTTTAAAAGTTGCAAAGTCAGATGCATTCTGGAACACAAATTTTATCAGGCATTTTTACCTCAAGTCTCCTCAGAAGCTTTGACAAGCTTATGTGCTTGTACTTATGGGATCACTGTCTCAAGAAACATATACTTCAGAAAATCTCACTTGGGAAATTGAGGCCCAGTTAGCAGAAGGGACTGATGTAGGACCCAGAGTAAATCGGTAGTAGCCTACTTCACTGTATCGAGAGTTAGGTGATTAGAAATCAGACTGTGGGGATGCATCACACTGTTTCTGTCACCCCTCTCCCACCCCACACCCATTCAACAAAGTGGCTTTAGGGCCCCATTCATACCACAGTATGAATTACTCATGTATTAAGAACGTGACCCTCCCTCTGCCAAACTCTTTATTTATTTATTTAATTTTAAGTTCTGGGATACATGTGCAGAATGTGCAGGTTTGTTACATAGGTATACATTTGCCATGGTGGTTTGCTGCACCTATCAACCTGTCATCTAGGTTTTAAGCTCCTCTTGCATTAGGTATTTGTCCTAATGCTCTCCCTTCCCTTGCCCTCCACCACCCTACAGGCCCTGGTGTGTGATGTTCCCTTCCCTGTGTCCATGTGTTCTCATTGTTCAACTCCCACTTATGAGTGAGAACATGCAGTGTTTGGTTTTCTGTTCCTGTGTTAGTTTGCTGAGAATGATGGTTTCCAGCTTCATCCATGTCCCTGCAAAGGACATGAACTCATTCTTTTTTATGTCTGCATAGTATTCCATGGGGTATATGTGCCACATTTTCTTTATCCAGTCTATCATTGATGGACATTTGGGTTGGTTCCAAGTCTTTGCTATTGTAAATAGTGCTGCAGTAAACATACATGTGCATGTGTCTTTGTAGTAGAATGATTTATAATCCTTTGGGGTATGTATACCCAGTAATGTATTGCTGGGTCAAATGGTATTTCTGGTTCTAGATCCTTGAGGAATTGCCATGCTAAACTCTTAAAGCATATAGATTTCAATAAGAGTCAATGTTGGAGTCTCAAAGGTTGAAGAACACTAATTTGGGTTGCTTTGGGCAACTGAGCTTTCCTAGTAGTGAAATTATATCCAGGAGATAGTTAGGAGCCATGAGCAGCACTGACATGTGCTTGTGGGACTGGGATGTTGGAGGAAATGCATAGAGATATGAATGTGTGTGTGTGTGTGTGTGTGTGTGTAAGGTGGAAGCTTCTGTCACCTAGCCAAGCAGCGCATAATGTTCCCCAAGGATTTGTACCCAACCTGTCTTGTTCTTCCTCTCGGCTTCTTTTCTGGTCTCATCAGTTGTAACTGTTTAAGCAATCAGTTAATAATGGATGACTCTCAAATCTGTCACCACCCTGGCCTCTTCTTTAAAACCCCCTTCCTAATTTGAAAACACCTGTGGGACACATTTATCTCAATGTTCTGCCAGTGTCTCAAATTCATCTCCTAAACTGAACTCTACAGCTTCCTTCCCAGACTTGCTCCTTTAAATCAGTTTCCCCAGATGACATCAATATACTTCCGCTCTCTATGATTAGAAGCCTCAGAGCCGTCTTGTCTCCTTGCTCCTCCACCCCCTCAACACCCATAAACTCACTCACCAGGTGCTGATGTAGTTATCTGTGTTTGTGTTTTAAGAGCAGGAGTCATGGTGGTTTTATTTATTATTTGTTTGTTTGTTCTTTCATTCCCCACTGTGTCTACCATGGTGTCTCATACTTAATTGGTGCTCAGTAATTGCACAGTGAATGAATGAATGAATAATGTGCTACTTTAATTAATCAAATATCCTGGCTAGTAAAAAGTGTTCATAAATATTTATACATGGATTAACAATTTTAAAATAATTAGACTATTATACACAGTAATGGAAAATACTGAAAGCAATCTGGCATTGCTTTGAAGATTCAGAGGGTATTCTAGGACTCTTTAGACACTCTTACTCTTGCTTAATAATCTGAAGATCCTTACTCATATCCTGGGGAGCTAATTTTGATGGACAGGTAAGGAACAAATGCGCTTTAGTTTCTTTGTGTGTGTCTATGGATGTAGGTGAGTTTGTGTGATGTGGGCAGGTTTCTAGGTATGACTGTATAGACGTGTTATGTATACAGATGGATGGATGTGTATGGATGTATGTGGAGACTAGAGTGTGCATGGTGGTGTTTGCAGATGCATAGTGAATTGGGTCACATAGATATCTGCAAAATGTGAATTTCTGTGTTCATGTGTATGTATGTCAAGTATCACATTTAGTATGGGCATTTTTTGTGTGTATATGTGAGGTGTCTGTATGTGAGCTGTATATATACATGGGATACAGGCTGTGAATGTGTAAAATGCTTCTGTAGATGTATGTCTGTGATGTGCATATTGCATGTGTTTGTTTTTGAAATGTACTGTGAAACATAATATAGAATAATGCAAGAGAGTGAAAAGAACAGATGATTTGGAATTCATCCTGTTTTAGTCATTTATTAGCTGTGCTACCTTGGGAAAGTTACTTAACCTGTCTGAGGAGCTTTAGTTTTCTTACCTGTCAAATGAGTTTTGCATGAGGAATAACTGAGGTAGCATAGTTAAAAATACCTAGGACTGTTCTTAGAACACAGCAAGCGCTCGAAACATTGTTTTTCTCTTTGTGGCATGGTGTGTGTGTGTGTGTGTGTGTGTGTGTGTGTGTGTGTGTTTGAAGCAGTTCAGAGCGGGTCTGGGGCTGCTCCTTGTCTCACAGCGCTTTCAGCTGCACCATGGAGCCCACATGGCTGGAAAGCCCCCCCAGATGCTTCCCATGGCCCACAGTTGGGGCCACAGTCCATTCAGCACTGGACTCATGGCTGCTGTGTGCCTCTGGTGTGGGCAGAGGGGACCACAGGCATGCAATTAGTGATTTATGACTTTTCTGCTGTTATAATTCACTTCCAGCACCTCTCTAGAAGTGGCAGTTATGAAGCTTTCATAAGCTCCCTTACTCTCTCCAACCCCTCCTCTCTGATAATAAGATTTGGGAACGTAGTACTCCCTTCCAGCAGTTCCTGGAGCACAAGTGATCTCTTGGCCCTTAGGTCTCTCTCATAAGCCTCAATCCTATTAGGCAGTAAAGTGGGAGAATGAATTTGCCCCAAATTATCCCATACCATTTGCTATTGCCATAACATGCCATTTAATACCAGAATCCTCCCCAAAGCTGAAGAGTCTTCTGGTTATTCTAACTTGCATGTCTGGAATAAGGTATTTGCAGTCTGGTCACCCAGCCACTGGCTCACTTAAAACCTTGGCACTGAGCCGAAGTGGAGGGAATGAAGACTCCGGGGGGTTAAGTTACTGGCCTCGGGTCACACAGCACTTCAAAGACAGAAGGAATTAGAACTTACATTTTCAAGTGTTGACTTATCCAAATGCTACAACGTAAGGGAAAGTCCTTCGTAAATTGTGAAGAGTATAAAATCATGATAGTCATGCTATTATTATGATTTGTTTCTGAAGCTTGTTCTGCCCTGTTATATCCAAGCAAGTCAAAACATGTGTCTGAATTCTAGCAATCTGTATATACACTGCTCTGAATTTGCCACACTGAAAAATGGAGAGGAAATCGTTGTGAACTACCCAGTGATCCTCTGTTTTGTCGAGTGATTCACAATAGCATATTCTGAGAATCTCTAGTCCAGCCTCTCCCATATATTGTTTACCAGCTGTTTCCTGTTAGCACTTTCATAATTTTTGCCCTGTTTACTACCTCTATCATTCACTTAATTATTTTCATTAAATTGCCTCACTTCTTTCAAGCTTAAACTTACTTAAAAGGAAACTATATTTCACTACTCACAAATAGAAAACTAATATTACTCGCCATAATGGAAGAGAACCATAATAGCAAATACAATGACAACAAGACAAAAAGAGAAGAGTTTACAATTCTAGTGATCTGCTGCTTGCCAATGTTCTGAGCCCAAGGCCTCCTCTAAGTTACAAAGGAAGTGCAGCAAGTGTAGGACAGGCGTTAGAGGCATATTAACACCTAACGAGACTTCTGGAGATAATAAGAACGATTGGAAGAGAATTGGTTCAATAATGATTTATTGTTATTGTGTCAATCACTTCAAATCCTCCTCCTCCCTCACTGTGCCCTAGGCCAAAAATTCTCAACTCTTTTCCAAATACAAAGGCTCCATATTAATGCCAAAGTAGCTATGCCTCCCTCCACTTGATAATCCTTGTACATTTCTGTCTATATTTAGACAGCACAATTTGCACAGGATTATTCAAAACTCCCCCTCTCCACCCCAGTGAATCTGATGTGCTGTGCATCTGTGTAGAGTAAATATGCACTGGGGAGCTCTTTTAGTACCACCATTCCCAGTTAACTTAAGCATTTGCTTATAGACCATGAGCTGCTGGACAGAAGAGCTGGGAATGAATCTGAGAAATAAAACACTCAATTGTTAAAATTTTCTGACCTTATGACAGTATTTGGAAATGATGCAGTTTTTTTCAGGGATTACTAAAATATGGTGGGTGAATCAGACTCAGTTTAGGCGGATTTGATTAATGGTAAATTTCAGAAAGACAGTGAGGTCTTCTGAGACCAAGTTTTCTATTCCTTACTGAGAAGGCTTATTACGATAGATGCACTGACTATACAAAACATTAGACTATTATACACAGAAATGAAAAATACTGAAAGCAATCTGGTGTTGCTTTGAAAATTCATAGGGTATTCTAGGACTATTTAGACACTCCTGCTTAATAATCTGAAGATCCTTACATCCTGAAGAGCTAGTTTTGATGGACAGGATGAGGAACAAATATATTTTAGTTTCTTTTTGTGTGTCTATGGATGTAGGTGAGTTTGTGTGATGTGAGCAGGTTTCTAGGTATGATGTATTAGGTATGTTATGTATACAAATAGATGGATGTTTATGGATGTATGTGGGGATTAGAGCATGCACTAGACTTTCCACCACCTTCTGGTCAGGGGATTTGTCACACTAAGAGACTTTGGTACTTAAAGGACCTCGGATGTTACTCCTAATGACAGAGACCATGCAAAGCTCCAGGAGTAGAGTTCAACAGAGGGGTTGGAGGCAGGGTGATGTAATGAAGTTGGGGGCTGTGTGACCTTCAGTGAGTCACTTCCCTTGTTGGCTTTCAGTTTCCCCAGTTATACAATGAAATTAAGATGATATCTAAAGCCCTTCCATCCCTCAGTCATCATTTTATGGGTCTATAATATTCCTTCTTTTTTTTTTTTTTTCATACACCTGGTCTGGGAATCCAGATTTGTCTGGACTTCTTTGGAGGAATGGGATTTTGTATCTTGGTTCTTCCTCACCTAGTCTCAAGACTTTTTTCTCCAAAGGGTCAATCTGTTTCTCAAGGTTTACTTGGAAGAAAGGCCAGATGAATGTTCAGATTCTCATTCTTCAGTTGCAGCATCAATTGGAAATAGGGAATCAATGTAAAACTGTCAATCTGAATTACAAATGAGCTAGGGTTGACAGTAAAACTGGGGAGAAACAATTTCAGCTACATTTTACATGGTACCACACCCCCAAGAACCACTCTGGGTTAGCAGAGGGGATCCCCCTAGTCGATTCCCTCTCTCCAGTTCACCATGAGCAGAGAAGTCCAGGAGGTCAGGATGGAAAAGGGGCAGAAGAGGGACTAAGAGGCTGAGAGCAACCAAGGGAAGGACCCATACAGCTGGAGGAGGAACTTGGAGGTGCAGATTGAGGACAGGGAGGTGGGAGGTGGAAGAGGAAGAGGACACTGTGAAAATGAAGGAGTTTGAGGCACGGTCAGCACTATAATTGAGGAATTCAGTAAGCACAGTGGACAGGTACCCAACTACACTTGGTGAGAGGATGAGAAGTCTCCAAGAGGCTTTGTGGAGAAAATGACGTTTTAAGTAAAACTTGAAGGTTAGGTATGGAGTTGGCCTGGAAAAATACAGGAGGAAGAGTGTTTGGGGTAGAAGGAACAGCATGTGTAGTTTAGAAGTGAGAGACAACTTGGAGAACTGAAAGAAGAGTTTAGTGTGTGTATGAAGGAGGGAGGGAGAGAAGAGAATGGGAAATGATGAGAAATGAAGATGAAACACTTGCGGGTAGGCTCTGTCTTGTTCAGTGCCTGGCAGGTAGTAGTAATTAAAAATTCGATTTGACTGGCCTTTGCCCTCTAATTATTTATTGTCCAGTAGATAGAATAGTTTAGGTACTTAAGAAATTATAAGAGGTTGCCACTCTGCTTAGGTGGCATAATTGGACTGCTATGGTGGCTTAGTGGTGGAAGGCAGTATTTGGGGGTAAGGCAGGGATTAATTAGAGAATTCGTCTGAGTTTTATTAATTGTAGCCTCTGTGTGCTTTTAGAAAGACCCAACATTTGCCATTTTCAAATTGTGTATTCAGGGGAGAAAGCTTTCTCTTGCCCCATTGCCTGTGGGCTGTCTTTTTCTAAATGAAAAAGAAATAGTGATTACTTCCCGTTTTCTCGATCTGCTGTTAGTCCGCCTCGACTCGTAGTTCGCCCTCAACATGCCGGAGCCAGCGAAGTCCGCTCCTGCGACCAAGAAGGGCTCTAAGAAGGCAGTGACTAAGGCCCAGAAGAAAGACGGCAAGAAGCGCAAGCGCAGCCGCAAGGAGAGCTACTCCGTGTACGTGTACAAGGTGCTGAAGCAGGTCCACCCCGACACCGGCATCACCTCTAAGGCCATGGGAATCATGAACTCCTTCCTCAACGACATCTTTGAGCGCATTGCGGGTGAGGCTTCCCGTCTGGCGCATTACAACAAGCGCTCGACCATCACTTCCAGGGAGATCCAGACGGCCGTGCGCCTGCTGCTGCCAGGGGAGTTGGCCAAGCACGCGGTGTCGGAGGGCACCAAGGCCGTCACCAAGTACACCAGCGCTAAGTAAACCTGCCAAGGAGGGACTTTCTCTGGAATTTCCTGATATGACCAAGAAAGCTTCTTACCAAAAGAAGCACAATTGCCTTCGGTTACCTCATTATCTACTGCATGCAGAAAAGAAGACTGAAGAATGCAACTATACCTAGATGAACTTTCCCACAAGATAAAGCTGGCCTCTTGATCTCATTCAGATTCCAAAGAGAATCATTTACAAGTTAATTTCTTTCTCCTTGGTGCATTCCTTCTCCCTAATAATCATTTACTGTTCCTCAAAAAATTGTCTACATTACCCATCTCCTCTTTTGCCTCTGAGAAAGGGTACATAAGCTTCTGTACCCCACTGAGGGGTTGAGGTAGTTATTCTGTGGTCCCCAGCCCTGTACCTTAATAAATTTGTATGCCTTTTCTCTTAAAAAAAAAAAGAAAAGAAAAGAAAAAGAAATAGTGGATGGTGAGGAGGGGTGGGTGGGTGTCCTGGTCTTCTGGGAAGAGGTGGGGCTGAGCTGGGCTGGCACCCTTGGCTTTCTAGGCTGAGCCAGTTTCCTATCCCTGGCTCTGATCCCAAGGGACTTGGGGCTTGTCGTACAGCCTGGGCCCTGCTGGTCACCCTCAGCTTTGCCTGAGTTGGATCATCAGGTCAGCATCTGGCTTCCCCCAGCCAGCTGTGCAATTCTGATTTTATTTGATTGCAGTAAGGGGCTTAGGCTGGCCAGGGAGTGCTTGACATTTTATTACTGTCACTTCATGATCTGCTAAGCACCCCTGGGAACAGAATGTCACAGTTGGCATGCCCTGAGCCCAGTTCACCTCAGGGTCTTAGGGAACAAGACACCTCTCCCTCTTCCTGTCCTACCTCCCACAGTTATTACTGCCCCCTATAGGGAACCCTTATCTGAATAAGAAGCACATGTATTTGCATATGATTTTCTTATTGTAGCAATGTAAAATCCTGGATTCTTGGAGCTGGACTAAACCTTAAAATCTCATCTGGTTCTGCCTCTGCACCTGAGGAAGTCTGGTCCTCTAGGGATCCCATATACTATGTAGCATCAGTTTCCATGTTTTCCTCTGGATAGCCTTCCATCCACTAACTCTCCTGCCTTATCGTATGTATCCCCACAAAGTAGGGCCACCTAGAGAAAGGTGAATGAGGTACCTAGCAAAATTTAAGGAGGCACTCCATCCCAGGGTTGCATAAGTGCCAATCCTGCACTTGCAGGAACCAGAGAGTGAGCACCTCCTTAAATTTTGTGCCTCACCTACTTCACTCTAGTCCTGGCCCTGCTACAACATCCTAAATCCCTCAGCCTGGTCTATAGGGTAAGATTTCCTGTAGATTATCAAATCTATTCACCTGATGAGGGGGTCTCTTTATCTCTTACAGCATCCCACTTTATTTTCAAAAAGTTTCTTGTTTTTCTTGTTTGGTGGCAAGAAATGACATTAATTGAGCATCTGCTATTCCTAATGTGGACTCTGAATTGCACATTACATATTTTATCCCGTTTAATCCTCCAAACAGCCTGAGAGGCAGGGATGCCTGTCCCCATTTTACAGGTGAGAAAAGTGAGGCTTAATCAATTTTGTGGCTTGTGACTTGATCTCTCCAGCTCTGGCATTCCACACTGTATTTGCTTACATTACATTGACATTTTCTTTTTTCTCATCTTCCTTACTGTATGCGCATGTGTGAAGCCTGGAGTCAGGACAGCCCTGGTCTTTTCTGGTTCAAGCCAAACTTTCAGCTCTGTAACCTTCTTTTTTCTCAGAATTGGGGCCATCAAGGTGTTATATAGACAAAACCCTGAAATCATGATTTTCACAAATGTCTCTTCAGGCTCTCAATAAACATGGTTTTCATGAAGAGCCTGGCACACAGTCAGAGCTCAATAAATATTTGTTAAATGGATGATCTATACCTGAAATTCCAGAGGAAGCTTAATTTAGCTGTGCAGCATTATTTGGCATCAGTGATAGGATTTGACTGGAGTCCAAAGAGTTCTAAACTCTGGCCCTGATACTCTTAGTCAGCCCCTTGGGAAAATATTTAATGTCCTCAGGGAAAATACAAGGCAGAAAAATAAGAGAAAAAGTCATTTCTTTCAGTGGTATTCACACGAAATGTCTTGGACCACTGGCCTAGGTCAAACCTATGTTTACACATAAACCCTACATTCCTGCTTCCTTATGTCCCTATTTATAATTCTACCACAACCATCTCACTTTGCCCCAACTGTGTCTATGTGTCTTACTTGGAAAAATTTTCCCGTGCCTCTGACTTTCAGTGTTATTCTGCAGTCTGGTCCTATGGTGAAAGAATGCTTGGCTTAAGCCTGGGGGCATCAAGTGGCCCTCAGATGAGTTACAGTGTGAAGAATCCAGGGGGATTCTTCAGAGGCTTGAGTGTGGAAGAACAGGCCTTTTGGGTTTACTCTGACTGAGGGAAAGCTCTTAGCAGGCCCTACATAATCAGCATGCATCCCACAAGTTGGACAGAAGAGCAAATGGCTCTCATTACCTTCAATGCAGCCTTTTTTTTAATCAGATAAATCTCACTGGAGAAATGTGCCTTTGTACAGAATGGAGCCCAGGCTTCTGGACAGAAAGTTTTAGGAAAAAAGATTGCATTAATCAGCAGGCATTGGTCATTTGAGGTTGCAAAGGCCTGGGAGTATAGATAATGAGGAGACATAGCAACAGGATAAAAACAGATGAAGACATGATATTAGCTAATGACAGTAATGGCTATCATTCATTGATACTTCACATATTTCACTGTATTTAATCTCTTCTCAATACCATGACGATGACATCATTATCCCCATTTTACAGATGAGGAAGCTGACACTTTCATTTTCAGAAAATTTACCTGAGGTTATGCAGTTTGTAAATGGTAGCCCCATGAGACAACAGGTCTCTGAAGCCCATGGTATTAATCACTATAATATATTGACTCTTCCGAGTGATAGTGATTTGCAGAGTCCCTCTGAGGAGCCTCTCTGGTTCATGATATAACTGTTTCCTCATAACTCTGGAATTAAAACTAGGAATTTTAGAGCTCTGGGAATTGGAAAGTATGGGTTGGGAACAATGTAATTGATAATCACTTGCACACATGTAACACTTTCAGTTTTTATGGCACTTCTAAATCCATCACTACATTTGATCCTCACATCTGCCCTGTGACAGCATCTCCATGTCCAGGTGATGACAGCGAGGCTCAATTGAGAGGTAGGAGGCCTGCTCAGTCTCAGATGGTAGAACCATAACATAACTGGAGGGCTCCAGGTCTGGTCTGGGTTATCCTCTGCTTGACTCCTTGGCCGTTCCCCAGAACCAGTCATGATATGGAAAAACCTTCTCGACTGTTTATTACATCATTTCTATCACACTTGATCTGTAGTCAACTTGCCTTTTGTTTTGCCTTTTTCTCAGTTCACTCATCTTGAAAATAGTACCTGCCTTTACCAACTGCAGGTGTTTGAATGGCAGAAGGCCACAGTACTTTTACAGATGCTGTGGAAATAAACTCTCATTTCTCAGGTTAGTCAACTTTATTCATTAGGTACTTTTAGGTACTGATAATCTCATTTTAGATCACATTAGTTTATTATTTCATTTACTTATTTACTTAAAATAATTAGGAAGTGCCTATTATATTGTCAGAGATTGTACTAGGTGTTAGAGGAGGTTGCAAATAAAATAATAACAGCCAGCCCTAATTGAGTGGCTATAAAGTACTGTACTAGGCATTACACCAAAAGCTTTATTTGCAATACTTAATCCCCAAAATAACCCTTTGAGTTGGGGTATAATTTACCTCTGTTTTTCTGATGAGAAAAGTGAGGTCCATAGAGATTAAATAATTTATCCAGGTTCACCTGACCTTACAGACTTCTCTCTTAACTATATCAGTGATGAATGTGCAATAGCCGTTGCTTTCCAGGGGCTCTCAAACTAGTAGAGGAAAACTTATGTGAGAACAAATAAGTGCTTTAATATCCAGGGCCTTTAGAAAAAACCATACCACTTTTCCCTTCCAAGTCTATACTAGTTCAAACTCATAGTGGAAAAAAAAAGCCAAGTTGCAATGAACCCATAGGAAATGCATCAGCAAAACTGTAGTATTTATCCCAGAGAAAACAGAGGTTTCATAGGAGTGGAGCTTGGATGTGTGTGGTCTTCAAGCATCCAAAGACTATGATTCAAAGGAGGATGTTCAGAAAATAAACAATCCTTACTAGGCACTGAGGAAGAAATGATTTTAAATTGTAGAAAGGGCAATTTGGATTAAAACCTGAAGCTGCCTTTAATAAATGGAGTGACTGGTCTTCAGAAAGTGAACACTTAACTGTGAGTTGATAGGGTTTAGCTGAAGTGGGTATTTGCATGTAAATACAGAGTTTTAGGGACGCTCCAGGGCTCTAATAATGCTCTCTAAATAGCCTTTGTTGATTCCCCTGAATCCTTTAAGACAGAGTCAGAGCTGCAGCTTTGCTCAGCGGGGTGAAACTTCTTTGTTTCACTCAGCAGGTTCCAAAGTCTTGGGCAAGAAGTGAGTAGCAGAGTCATAGAATTATGAGACCTGGTCATCCTGTGCATTAAAAAAGACATTCACTGATCACCTGCTATAAATTAATAAATGTATATTATACCCCTGCAAGACTATCATCTCCATTTTATAGATAAGAAAACTGACTCAGAGATTAACTGAGAATAGCAAAGGCTACTACCAATGACCAAATACTTTCTAGGTGCCATCCACAAGTTAAGAACTGTTCCATACGGGTGTTCTAATCTTCCCAACAACTTTATGAAGCATCAAACCTTTCCTTTTCTATTTTTCAGATGAGAAAACTGAGACTTGGGGAGATTGATAGACTTAATCAAGGTGAGTTAGTGGCAGAGCTGATATATAAATCTAATCGAGGTGAAATTTTGGCATAGGTTTTGGAGCCGCTGTTCAAATCTGCTAAAACAGCTCACTCAATTCAAATATGCATGATTTTAAGTTTCTACTCTTCTGTGGTTTAGTATAACCTTCTAGAAGGAATATTCACTTAGGAGAATTCAGGAAAAGTATCATTGACACCCTGTGGGACTTAATGAGGTGGAAGGAAGAGTAATGGATGATGAAGAAACGACAAGGCTTTGTGGCCAATGCCCCTTTACCCTTTCAGGATAAAGGAGCTCTAGGGTCCTTGCTGAGGTTTTCTTCTCTTCTTGGGATTTCTGTCCTTTTTACCCTGTACCTTCAAGATCCTCCAGCAGGTCACCTCTTTCTAACGCACAGGGGGACCAAATGGGGTCCTGAGTCCCACTGCCTTCTGCCACTTGTTGCATGTCTCAGAGGCAAAGAGAAGCAACCTTGGAAATGCAACAAGCTGTGGATATGGAGTCAGAGATTCTGGTTTGCAGAATT